CACCACCATCCCCACTTACTGTAGTATCACAATCATTATCATCACAATCCTCCTCATCATCATCACAACCACCACCACAACCACCACCACCATCCCCACTCACTGTAGTGTAACTTTTCTTCCCTTTACTCTTGTTGAACGAACGAATTTGGAGGGCATTCTTGTAGGAGTTCTGGACCAATGCACGGCCAATTCCATCAAAAAATATCAACGGTATATCGAAAATTTATAGATCAATGAATAATGAATTATACAAAGAAACGCTTGAAAAATCATCTACCCAGCAATCCACAGCGATGCTGACGTCATTCTGGAGTGGCGCTATACAAGTCATCAGATACGAATACAAATACAAATGCGCGCCAAAGGGGATAAATAAGTCGATACAATGTGATATACAAAATAAAATGATACTCAGATTGATAAACAATGATTCACACAATGATACCCACAGCAGTATACAAATACAAACTGATATATATATATATATATATATATATATATATATATATATATATATACAATTATTTATAAAGATCACTGCGATATATATATATATATATGTGAATATGTGACAATGATATCCAATATTATACACAACGATATACAAAAATCTATACAAAATGGTAGAAACAAGGATACACATATTGATGTATGAGATGATACACAATGATATAAACAACTTTGCAAGGTTATACTATATTCTATACAAAATCATAAAATTGATAGAATGATATCACAATGATACAAAATGATATCACAATGATACAAAATGATATCACAATAATATAAAATGATATACAATGATACAAAATGATACACAGATGTAATGTAAAAATACAAAATTAATCTGCTACTAACAATAGCGGAGTGATATTCCCCTGTATGGTAATACGCATCACCCTGGTAACAAAATATCTGATAGCGAGTCGTTGAGTTGAACTGATCCGGGTTCTTCTGGGTTATTGTCACTGCCAGAATGGACTAAGGGAAGAAAATTCAATCAGTTAAGTTAGTAAATTAGTTAAATTAGTAAAGTTAGTGAAAATGACAAAAGTTATTTTTTTAGTATTTTTTTTCATCAGGTTTAGTTTGTGAATAAATAATAAAATAAGTTGCAGTTGGTTAAGAAAGTAATTAGTATAATTATTGATGATTAATTAATTTAGATTACTTAATTATTTACTTAATTAACTATTTAAAAATTTAACTATAAAAACAAGAAGAAAAAATTGTGTTGTGTTCAATTTTAAATCGTTCTTTTCACGTCTTGTGCACGAATATAATGCTCCATGCTCACTTAACATGGTGCAAGTTGAAAGTAAAAATAATTCTTTCAAAATTTTTCTAGGTAACTATAAGTGCTACAATAATAAATTTGGTATTATTTTAATCAGCAAATTTTGCTTTATAAGAAAAAGTAGTTTATATGCAAAAAAAATTTTTTTTTAAATCGTGCGGCCTCCTACTTTACTAAAGTTTAATTTAAATTAAACTTTAATTTAATTGAAAATTTCAAAGAGATTTAGCAAACTTAAATTCTTTTTAAGATTAAAAACGCCATTCACAAAATTCCATATTTATCAAATAATATGAAATTAAAGTCATTTTATTTTATAATTATAAATTTAAAAAATTTAATTAAAAAAAAAAATTTTTAGAAAAATTTTGAAAAGAAAAATACGTTAACAACACCCACCAGCAACTTCACATCCTCGTACATTTTGGCTTCATAGAGTCGTTGTAACTGCTCGAATATCATTTTCTTAATTAAAAAATGTTAGGCAAAGTAAAAATGAAATTTTAGAGACCGATTTGTTTAACTCTTCGGTTCGCTTTTACTTTAAGAAAATTTAAATTTTCTAAAAGTGAACCTACGTTTGAAGAATTAAAATTCAGAGGTAACGTAAGATTTCAATACCTTTGTATAACACTTGAAAAATTAAAATTAACTAAATTAAAACGAAATTCTAATGAATTAAATAAAAATTTACATTCAAATTATTTATATTTCGCAAGTTATTAATTTAAATCTCATAAAAGGAGAATTAAATTTTGGGCTATAGAATGAGCTTACGTGTACTTTGTTTAATCTAAGTATTTTTAGGAATCTACAAATACAGCTGACTGTAGCGAAGGTTTGATTGTTATTGCTCGGAATTCTTAACAAATTGATCGTTTTTGCTGTCAAATTCAACTTTTTCAAGGTTTCCTACACTTTTATTTGATAAATTATTTATAAAATTGTCATAATCAACTTTTAAATGTTGACATTTTTGTGTAATTTTATGTTGAAATTAGTGCTAAAAATACATACATGGGCACCCCCCAAGTTTGTAAACAATAAATAATAATAATCACAATAAATAATAAATTTCTTAGTGTGATATATTCATATTTTAAGTTTTTTTTTTATTATTTTTTTAATATGATATTTTTATAACATTGTTAACCAGTGAAATTTCAGCTTACCTAATTTCTAATTTGTCTGGGAAAAGATTTACATCTGACTTTTCAACAGAATTACCATCTTTTTATTTTTTCAGGTGTTTATTTACTTGTGGAATTTTTATGATTTTGACTTAAAAATTATTTTAATTAATGTTATTTTAATTAAATTTAAACAAAATTATTAATTATAATTTATAGTGAATGATAAATATTATTAAGATAAATAAATAATTAAATATTGTCTAAATATTTTTATATTCATATATTTCCTGTTTAAGTTAGTCAAGAATGATTAAATTTATTGTTATTTTAGTTTAGATTAATATTATTAATACTGCTTTAAATTTTTAATTTAAGAAGTTTTTAATTGAATAAAAACTTGTTATTCATGATTTTTAATAAATTAAATTAAATATTCAAACAAATAATATAATTCAATACAGAATGGCCGACGGTAACTTCGACCCCTGCGAATGCGTGTGGAGCCATGACGCAGCCATGAGAAGACTTCTCAACCTGGTAATTTCCAATTAATGTCAAGGTCGATGAACTGCCCCAGGTGCAAACCGAGATACCCCAGCCCTAACTGCCAAAAACCTTATCACAAATCCACATACACACACATACAAACACACACATATATACACAGACACACATCACACACATATACACACTTACAAAATTCAAAAAAATTAGTTCCTCTGTTGAAAACACATACAAAAAACCAACATACACATAAATACACACACATGCATGCACGCACACACACTAACAAAACACATTTTTTAACTTGGGGCAGATCTGTGACTCGATCATCCTTAATTATTATAATGCTCATTTGTTACTTTTTAATTAAAAGATATATATATTTATATATATATACATTTTATTTATTTATTTAACGAATATTAGCAAATCATTTTTATATTTTATGATTGAAGGTAAATAATTATTTTGTTTTAATTTATTCATTTGCGAATCATAATTTTTTGAAAAATTTTTTCATTTATTCTCACCTCCAGTTAAGAAACTCTCAATCATATTGCACTGAGAATGAATGCATTCAGGATTGTAAGTTTAGCTGATTGGCTGTTTCATTGATTGATTAGGTGATTGACCGATTGATTAGTTGATCATCATCATCTTTGTCATCGTCACTTATGACACAGATTCGTAGAACACAATAGAGTAGCAATGTGCACAACATCGTAAACAGTTTATTCACAACGACGACAACAAAAACTGAACAACAAACTCACACACACAACAACAACACACATAGTGCCGGGACCTAGCAGTGATATGAGCAGTTCCTTTTATGGATTCAGTATGATGACGATGATGATCATTGGCTGGTTGGTCGTTGCAACTGCCCTGTTCCTACTGCGCCCCCCGTCTCTCAGAAGGTCCAATGATGGGAAACCCAGGAATCAGGTCGGCTAATTCATTCATTCATTCATTCCTAGATTAGACCATCTAATTTAGGAATGAATGAACGAATGAATGAATGAACGAACGAATGAATGAATAAGCGAATTATAAAAAGTGAATGAAAAGAAAAGATAATTTTCAGATAAATTTTTTATTTACGATTAATTGTCATCGTAATTATCGTGATACTTTATACTTTACTGGCAAACCAAATTAGGCATGTAATTAAATTATATTTGGAAAACGGATGAAGAAACAAACAAACAAAAATTATTCGCCTAATCCCCATCACAGGGTGAACCAGGCAACCAGGACCCGCCCCCTCCTGTTTTCTAAATGATCTACGACACCTACTGTTACGACCGCCGCTTCTACAGCCACAGCAACAACTACCACCACTACTTCTACTACCACAACAACGTCTACTACTAATACTACTACTACCACTACTACTTCCACTACTACCACTATTACTACTACCACTACCACTACTACCGCTGCTACTACTACTACTACTACCGCTACTACTACCACTACTACTACTATTACTGCTACTACTACTACGACATATACATTCACACTGATTTTCGATTTTTTTTCTTGACTGTTTGTTTATTTTTTTATTTTGAACCAGAAGAGGAAATAAAATTTATCAGTAATTTATCAGCTTTTAGGTGCGAAGATGATTTTATTCTCTCTCGTGATGAGGGATTTTTGTGATGAATTTTTCAACTTTATTAATTTATCTATTTAATTATTTTATTTATTCGTAATAATTATAATGGCCGTTGAGAATATGTGTGGTGTCAATGATGGCGACTTTTTGTGTGGGGTTTATGGTTTACTTTTCATCATTTTCGTGGTGGTTTGCTCGTTCGTGCGTGTGTGCGTGTGTGTGCATGCGTTTCTGTGTGCGTGCGCGCGTGTGTGTGCATGCGTTTGGTAGCTGCAAGTTTGTTTTTGTTTTAGTCGTGAAGGAGAAGAAAGTGTGATTGGCCGGCTTGGATGGAAATGGCGGTATGTGATTGGTCGTTGACGTTGGTACTGGTATGTGATTGGTCGTCGTTGATTGGTTGGCCATTTTGACTTCGTTAAACTGCTTAGTCTCGCTCTTTATCCATTCCCTAGGTCACATTACAACACAACAAATTACTAATCAACTATGACATCACGAACTCAATGAAATATACAAACCGTGACGTCATTGTAAGAATTGCATTTTGATTTTATTTATATAAATATATATGTTCTATTCCTTACTCGATTTTTTTTCATTGTTAGAAATTCGAAATTAATTTAGCGCTTACTTAACTGTAATTTTAACAATAACCAACCTAATCAGTAATTTATGACGGAGGATAATTTTTATATTTATTGCTTGATTGATTAATTAATTAACTTATTAAGTAATTAATTACTATTATTGCTAGTTCAGTAATTAGTAGTAATCCGATCATATAAAGCTGATGTTCTTCTACATTATGTCGTGTTATACTGCCACCAAGTGCTTAAACGTGATGCAACTTTGCTTTGTTATTTTGGATTAGTTTTTCTTATGAAACTATTAAATTCGTCAATTATAAATTAGATAATTATACAATTTAATGAATAATTGGATAAATTTAATAAATAATTAATGGTGAAAATTAATAAATTTGCTAATAATGTTTTTAAGAAGTATCCATTTGCATGTACAAATTGAGATTTTATTAATAAAAATAATATTTTCCTAATTCTATTTCGTTTAATATTATTTATAGTTGCTGTTCGAACATTGTTCATATTTTGTAAAATTATTTATTGGATGTATGTACATTATGCGTTTGTGGTTGTACGTGCGTGTGTGTGTTAGTAGTCGTGGTGTGTATGTGAGTGATCGATATACCAATTATTTGTGGAATGTTTCAAATTATAAATAAATTTTTATGTATGTAAGCATATATTTGCCTATATATATATATATATATATATATATATATATATATATATATATATATATATTCATAACATATCTTATGTAAGTTGTATATTTTATTAATCTGCAGATATATATATATATATAATATATATAGCTATTAAGTATAATGGTGATGGTAAACACAATATCAATGAATTAACACGTTAAAGTAATTAACGTTTTTTCACTCTATCTCTATATATGTTGGTTAGTTAATAAGTTATAATACAACAACAACAACACACGTTTAGACGATATTTTTCCCGAGATCGGGGGTTGCCGTTTGGCTACCTACGATGAAACCATTGTCACTTCTGTCATCATAAGTAATTTATTTGCTAATTTTTACGCGGGACGCCCTTCCTTACGCAACCACAGTTATAAGCGGTGGGCCTAGCCTTTGATGATCCAACATCACTCACAAGGCAGTGAGGGTCAGTTTAGTGTCATAACCAGGACAATAAGTTATAATAGCTATCATAATATTATTATTATTATAAATATTAATATTTATTATATTATTATAGTGCCAGAGAGTGGTTTTTATTGGATTCGTGTGCTACCCAATGTTCTGGGTATGTAAAAACCCAATCCTAACTAACTGACCCAATCAACTATTGAAAATGCACAAACCAACAGACCCAAACCTAAGGCTGATCGTTCGGAGGTCCTTAACATTCATCCTTCCTATGTATTTCGGTTTTGCGGTGGATTTTTTGCATTTTAATTTCACAAGCCTTTACTTTTTTTCCTTTCAAAATAACGAACCAGCCAGAGAGTATTTCAGTTATTGGTAACAAATTTCAATTTAACAATTACAAAGTTATCTCAATTATATAACAAATTTCAAATTAACAATATAAATCTAGAAGAATTCGCACAAGCGAATGTTTAACATTTGGTTAGTATTTTTCCTCCTGGCCTAGCTAAAGCCAGTGGCCAGTTGTGTTCTTTTGGTCAGTTGTGTTCTTTTGGTCAGTTGTGTCAATAAATGAATCAAAATGATACAGAAAAGTGATTAAGTCTAGAAAAATAAATAGGACAAATTTGCATGCACACAACCATATATACACAAACTAACACACCACACGCACACACACACACACACACACACTAATACTACACTTTCGCAGGCACACACAAGTTGCAAAAATATCGCGAAAAATGAGGTTACGAAATTAAGAATTGTGCAAAAATGGAATACGCAAAGTCATTTCTTGACGGACAGCAATTCCGTAGTTATACCCTTGGCTTGCAGTTCATCTTTAACACGTTTGAGATAGCCACTGTCTGGATAGCCATGCCTGTATAAAATTAAAACAATTACTCGGTAGTACGTAAGATAGGGAGAATTATCAATGAAAAAATATTCTGAATATGTCAGGCATGTAGATACTAAAAAATAAAAAAAAATCAAATCAAATTTTATTCAATCAATCCAAATTAATAATAATTAGGTAATGATTAGGAGACCAAATCTAAAAGAAAACAAAATTCTTGTGTCGCAGGCCACCGTTCACAAATTGTTCATTCTAGCACAATGTTTAAGTAAATTTATAATTCATGACAAAATTAACATAATGCACAATTTACTAAACCAACGAAATATCGTAAATAGGTTAGTCACCAAACTGAGCAAATTTTGAGGCGACTTGAAAATGAAGTTAGAGAACCATTAAAAGTGTGTATGTTTTAAATGATGATTTAAGTGGAGTCGGGCACGGGCAGTGTAATGAAAGACTTCTTTTCCATTAGAGGCGTGTTGTTAGGATTTTATAGGTAGTAAATGGATGCTTGATTGAATGGAAAAGTTCATGTATTATCATTATAAGTAAGGAAGATTTCGCATCATATACTAACAGCTTGCTAAAGTGATAAATTGTTATTTGATAAAAAAATATTTCATTTAACCTTAAGAATGAATGAACGAACGGATGAATGAATGAATGATTAAATAAATGAGTGAACGAACCAACAAACGAATGAGTGAACGAACAAAAGAATGAACGAACGAACGAATGAACAAAGTAAAGAACGAAAACCATACGTTCCACTGGTTGATGTTTTGTGGTGAACGTCATTCCAAACGACGACGTTATCTCTACCAGTGGTGTTCGACCTGCCAATGGTGAATATCAATCTATTGTCGAAGGCGATCTTGAGCAGGTGAAGTACCTCTCTGCCATCCTGGTTGTTAGGTAGGTAGGCGATTCTCCTCGTGCCCGTGTATGGCTTCCCTGGATTTGGCTGGTCCTTCTGGGTTTTGCAAAATCGAGTCGAAGATTTTGTATTTGATTTGCGCGTGTTATTCGATTGGGTCGCTGCAGCCAATTTTTCGTTTTTTTAAAATCATACGATCAAAAAAAAATCGCCGATTTTTATACGAGGAATTACAAAATAAAACAATTATAACCATAAAACGAGACTGAAAAAAGTAGTAGCTAGAAGAACCTGTTGAATGCCGTCTGGAAAGGAATATTGTATCTTGATGGAGGTGGACTCCTTGTAGCCAGGTAAGCTGTAGGGTTCATTTGAAACATCCATCCTTCCATCGGGCTGGTTCCCACGCTGAACACCGAAACATCTGTTACAGACGGGGCATTTGTTGTGGGCCACCAGCCACTGATTGATGCACTGCATGCAGAAGCAATGACCACAACTTAAAATCTTAGGCCGGCCGGTGATCTGAGATAAACAGATCGGACAGTCATTTGCCGATGTTAAGTCGTCTTTGCTTTGGCTGGAGTCAATCGTTTTAGTTTGAGATTTGGGTCGAGTGTCAACCGACCCAGATCTGCGGCGAACTCCTAAGGTCATCGTGTGTGAGACCCTGTCCTTTGGTACGTGGACTCTGCGTAGATAAGAAATTTTCTAGGATACTACATACCACACTGAAAATGAACAAAAAAATAAAATTCTGTAACTCAAAAATTAGTAAAATTCAATGAATAAAATTCGATTCAACCAACGGTGCGATCTGAGATATATTCTCAGCTGCTGTAGAAAAACTTTTAAAATTATTTTTTGGCGGGCAAATCTTGCAGGCAGAATTATTTTTCATGCACGAGACACACACTGAATGACCACAGGCTAGCGACTCCTTGGACTTCTTGGCACCGCAACTCGAACAGCAACTACGCGGTGACGCCATTAAACGTGACGACGATGATGACGATGACGATTGTGAGGATTTCAAAATTACTGGCTGATGAAAATTAGTGGCTGTATTTGACGGAGAGTTGAGATTCGTATCATCTTTCGTATCGTTGATTATGCGGCCGTCATTGCGTATTTCAATTGAATCAACCATGTATCTCTTCAGAACATGTACACACTTTTTAAAGAAGCCGGATAACTTTTCATAAGACATGTTCACCATGTAGATGCTCCTTAATGAGCAAGGTTTCTTCACCACTGGTTCAGAACGATCGAATGAACTCAATCCATAAATGAAGGATGATGCTGTTAAGTCATCAGAGAAATTTGCCTTCCCTGATAAATAAGATGAGATGTTCACAAGGAGTTATATCCTTATATTTACTCACAACTATAAAAGCTAAAAAAAAATGAAATTTGGAAATAATAAAGCGAAAACCAACCGGAACCCAAAATTGGGAATGAAATAGATTGAATGTCTTTTTTGAGAGCCTTATTTAAACAATTGAGATATGTATCAGCCAGAGGTTTCTGGTAGTTATCCAATCCATCATTCTTATATGCAGGTGTGGATGTATGCATGATATGTTTGCATTGCAAGTGGCCACCATCTGTTACAAAAACATCTGAAACATCCAAATTTTGATTCTGTCCTATGTAATCTTGACACTGTTTCACTACTCCAGGCCCAGCGGCTAGTCGGATTGCTTGAGATACTTGACCAGTGAATTTTAATTTAAAATTTGACGAGTTCACAATGGCATCTGTTTGTTGTTGGATGATGTCGCCTATGACAAATCTAACTTGTATGTTTTTATTTTTCAAAGTGAGGCAGCCAACCAAGACTTCATCATTCTTGTTGTCAACTTCACTAGAGTTTCTTGACCTGCCTGGAGTATGATCATCCAAGTTTGAAGCTTGTTTTTGAGTACTGAATTCCATCTCAAATATTTTATCTTCTAGCTCATGTAGTAAAGAAATCACATCATGGAACAATCCACTCAGTTGGAGTTTGCCATTTTTAACTTTTTTTGAGAACGAATTATCCTGGAGCATTAGATTTTGGACTTGCTGACTATCAAGAGGTACGAAAACTTCAATTTCTGGCTATGAGAAAAATAGTTGGTTTTATTTGTATTAATCTGAATAAATCTTGTATAAATTTGCATTAATTACTTTTTAAAAATTATAAGTGATATAAAATATGTCTGCTTTTACCTTTTACACTGATGTTTATAAAAGTTACAAAAAATGAAAAAGTGAAATATTTACCTGTGGCAAAATTTTGATGTGTTGAAATTTGAAATTCTTTTGCAGGAACCTCTCTAAGTTACTCAATTCTGTAGAGTTCGTGTGCCATTTTTTGTAAAAAAAAACATAATGAATGAATGAATAGATGAATAAATGAACAGATGAATGAATGAATGGATGGATGGATGAATAAATGAATGATGTTGTGATGTAATTTTGAAGTCTTTATCATCTATCATATCAATGAATTGAATAAATTTTTATTTATAAAAATTTTTTAAACAGTCATTTTATTAATATACCTTTCTTCTATATAAAATTAATTGTTTAATAATTAAATAATCAGTGTAATATAAATAATGTATTTTAAGATATAATACTAATAATATAACAATTCCGAAATTTAAAACTTAAAAAGTGTTGTTTGTAAAATTTTAAATAATTAAATGAAAATGAATTAAATTTAATTAATTAAAAATTTATTTAAAATGAATTAGCATTGATTAATATTAATTAAATTTTAAAATTAACTTCAGTTACCTTGGAATAGTTCCTGTGTAGAAGATCCTTCAATTTCAATTTGAAATGAATTTTCAATTAAACTTTTTAAAGGAGTTACGTTGAAGTTAGCGACGGATTCATCAGCAAATTGCTTGATCGCTGTAAGAACTTCATTTTTACCAAAATTAGATTTAGGGTCAATCCGCCATTTTAAAATATTTTTCTGGTAGAAATTACTGTTCGTAGCCATGATTTTATTTTATACCTAATGCACTAACTACGTTTTGGCTGACATTTTAAAATTTTGACGACGCAAAAACTTCCTCTACCTAATCCTAATCTAGTAGTGGAAGAGTTAGCAACTCAGAAATTCCCAGTTTCGCATTTTAATCTTTTGTTTCTATAGTGACTTTAAAAGTAAGCTTACAATAAATTAGAGTTAGTATAAACTAATTGACGAGTTTGTTTATTTGGCCTAATGGCTGATTGCTTTTAAGAACGCAGTTATACTAATGTTGAAACATTTTTATAGAATATTATTACTAATAATAGTAATTATTATGTGTTATTATACATATATGTGATCAGAAAACGTCGATTGGATGTGATTTTTTTTTGTAAAAATTTCTGTTTTTAAACTGGATTCGAATGCCAAGAGATTCCGGCCTCACATACACGTGCGGTTAATGTGATACGTTGATTCAATGTAATTTGTTTGTGTGTATTTGCTATTGATAATTTTGAAGTGCAACAAAAAGAGAATTATGAGTGAATATTGTGGTTGAAATGTAGTATTAAACCTCTGTGTGTGTATAACTGTTGTAGAGTTTTGAGTGCCATACAGTGTAATAATATGAGTTTATCAAATATCGCCATTTTATTAAAATTCTAAAAAAAATTTTTATACGAAAATATTGTCTTATTATTATTTTAATATTATTGATGTTTTGTTATGTTGTTTGTTTGTTTTTAAATTTCAAAACGTCATTGTCAGTCACCATAAAGGCATAAACTCAATAACAAGTAGAACATTTTTTTAAACTGACTCCTACCTTAAACATTTGCACTGTTAATTTGCACTCTTTTTAACACTCGTACTCAGTTAGATCATGAACTTTAAAATCAAATTACAATAAACCAAAAGAAAATTTGATATAGGAGTTGAGATATAGTTCTCAAACTGTAACTTTGACACGTAGGACTTAAGCATTTGCCTGCATCGCATCAGCTTTTAACCATCTTTAACCGTTGCAAGTATACTACCACAGCCTGATAAAATTATTTGTTAAATGTTCGCTAAAATGCCTGCAAGACTTGTTTTCAAATGACTTCATTCTTTAAACATTGAAAAAAATATAGTATCTGCAACAAAAACTTAATTGAAATTTTTAATTTTAATAAAAATCACGAAAGCTACGCTAAATAACTAATAAATCTTACTTAAAACTTAAACACATACATTTACAATTATTGAAATCAAAAAATGTGAAAATCATTTTTAAATCGCAGAAATTTGTAGGTAGTAGTTTCAATGGAAGGATGGATCTTTAGGAGTCAGTAAATTTTTCCTTCGACCCAATCTGGATGGCGATCAAAATTTATGGAAATTAATTTTAATAACTTTTAAAGTTTTGTCAAAAAATCACGGATTAAAATGCAAAACTAACTCTTTTTGTAACAATTCCAGTACCTTTTCTTTCTTTGAAGGACCTCTCATTGAAGCCTGGTTGTTAAATTATTGTTCTTATTTTAGAAGCACACATAAAGGCTTTCAATTTTGCATTAAATTCTATCTAAATGTATCAAAACATAAAATGTATCCTTAAATGAATAATAAATTTTCAAACCCAAGACGAAATTTTAAATCTAAAAAGAGTCTTTTTTTATTTGAGTATAATATAATAATAACAACAACAACAATAATAATAATAATAATAATTTTATTTATGAAGCGCCAATGTCAATGAAAACGACTAAAGTGCCCAAACAGTAGACATAGAAACAGAACTTAAAATAAATGACAAACGTACGGTCGAATATGAGCTTAAACGTTTTAAGGGGTACGTAGGGGTAAAAATATTTTCCAAAAAAAGTGAGTGTGAACCTTTTTGATGTCATCCAACATCCGGCCGGCGATGGTCCCACCCTTGATTCTGGTGCCTGCCTTCGTGAAGGGGTCAACTTTTGACTGGTACAGGTTGTTCAGTTTCTGGTACCCCATCACCAGCATTTTCATTTTTTCTGCCATGTACGTGGACTAAGATGGACATTAAAGAATAGTTTTTATTAATTTTCTATTTTATTTAATTATTTATTTATCTATTATGAAGTTCTCTTAAAAGTCATCCGTCCGTTGGATAAAATCTAAAAAACGCTTTTTTAAAAAATTTTTATGAAGAGATCGATTTTGATTTGTAAAAGAAAACAACAAAATATTACTCTAAATTATAACTACTTGTAAAACTAAGCCAGTAAAAGTTTGGCGTTGCAGGTTAACTGAAACAACACCACACCAAGCCACACTAGACCACACCAAGCCACACTAGACCACACCACACCACGCCACACCAACCTTGAGATAATATTCCAGTTCGTAGGTCAGTTCATCTTGTTGGGGATAGGTCAGATAGCTGTCCTTGGTGATCCCCTGAGATTTGTATTTACTAACGATGATGTAAGCTGCGTCGGCTGGATGGCCCAAGCTGAATATATTTTGTGGAATTGTGAAACTAATCAGTATAGTGTAGTGTGGTGTGATGTGGTGTAGTTCCAGTTTACCTGCAACGCCAAGCTACAATTTCAAGATTAATTTCACAACTCTATAAGATATAAAACACATTGGGATGTATTCTAAAAGTTTGAAAATATTTTCATAGGGTTTAATAATTCTTCATTTATTTCGAAGTCTCTTCCTCTATTACTAACATAACAAAGTTTTTCTCGTCAATACGCATTTCTTTCTCAACAGATATGTGGTGCGTACAAAAAGCTAAGAATACAATTAGCGAAGATTTTTTTTTTCAATATAAATAATACCAGACAAACATAATCGAAAGGTGTTAAGTGAAAGACTCGTTTATCTTCTTGTTAGATTTTTGGAATTAGAAAGCATTGTTTTATGCGTGTGATTCGTTGATTGACGGTTTGGTACGATAGAGAAATGTCAAATTAATAATTTTGGCTGAAATAGTCGTGTTCAAAACTGTTAATAGATGTTAAACAAGCATTTGGGGGTTTGTTCCAAAGGATGAAGTTATAATTTTTACATCCAACTTGAATAAATCAATTTGCAAAAAAATTTTTATAATTTGATTTATGTAATTTCATGAAACTTCCCAGAGGAAGAAGGCCCGACAGAACTCACTCGATCATCGTTTTGGCCCACTCCTTGACTGATATCAGAGGTGGTTCGTTGTACTTCTTGTGGAACAATTGAGCTAATTTCTTGAAGAGAGGAAAATTAAAATGACCAAATAGACGACCAAATGACCAAAATTTTAAGAACTATACATCCAAAATTAATGTCCCAACTTGAAAAACTTTAAAATGGAAAATTATGTAAAATTAAACGCCAACCCTGTACGTATATTCAAGCATCTGCATCTCAAACTTCTGCTTCTGGTGAAGCACACTGACTTGTGAGTAGGCATAGAGAATGATCGCTAGAAAGACGGCCATGAAGACGAAGAACATGAGCGATTCGAAGAGAAGGATGAATATCATCCCGAAAAAATTCATCCCGGTTTTGAAAAGCTGGAAATCCATGTCGCCAAGGATCACACGGATCATGGATGCACTGTGTGTTTGTTGGTGGCAAGATGGCGGTGTATTTCAAATGCAAATGACACACGCACGCACACACGCACACGTTTGGTTGTTTAGTATTTATATATAAAACCATTCAACACGATAGAACAAATTACCTATTTAAAAAGCATTTAACTGGATCTATTTAATATAGAATAGTGAATCAAATGAACAAGAACGAAAGCAATAATAATTTTAACATATATTCATATTCGTGAGTGAAGGAATGTAAATTGAAAATGTACCAAGAGTAAGTAATTGTGGAGAATTCTTCAAAATTGTAACCGAACAAAGCGTGACCTGCTATGGCGAAGGCGAAGTAGACGACGCCTGGTAAAGTTGGAAAAAAATTTCAGAAACATTTTGTTATAGAATAGAACAACCATACTTGTCGGTTTTTATCGTCTCTCTCTCTCTCTCTCTCTCTCTCTCTCTCTCTCTCTCTCTCTCTCTCTCTCTCTCTCTCTACTCTTCGTCACCTATACGACTGCTGGTAACAGTCCACAAATACTGAATCTTTCTTTAGCAAATACTCAGTAAAAACTGATTAAATAAATAAATAAATAGAGGATACTGCAAAAGATTCCTACCGAAGTTTCGTTGCATTACGTGATGAAATTTTTTTTGATGGAATAATTTACATTGATAACATAACGTACCTTCTTAACTTCACACATATTGCACTTATTATTATTATTATTATTATTATTATTAATTATTATCATCATCATTATTTTTATTATAATAATAAATTGATTCGAATGACGAGCTTCGCAGATTAATACTCTATTCATTGCATTTGACATTTTATTCAATTTCATTATTTTATTTTATCTGTACTGCCATTTTTATTGATCTTATTGCTGAATAAACATAAACATAAAGAAATAATTATGGGCGCGAAGAACATATGGCCATATCTAAATGAAATAAAATGTTATTATAGCATCATTATATATCAGATGACTTTTCAAAAACAGAAATAAACACACACACACACACACACACGCACGCACACACACAGACACACACAGACACACACACACTCAGATATATACTTCTAAATAAAATGAAGATGTACGCTAAACACACAAACCATCACACACAACCATCACGCACACACACACACAAACACACATGTATTGCTGAATAAAAGATTGTTCCCGTAATCATTATGATTGAAGTGTTTGTAAAGAGCATTTAGAAAAAATTTCAAAAGACGACCTAGCTTTCCAACCTGAGAGTATGATGAGTGAGGTTAACTCCTTTGTACACAAGTAAACGGTTTTCGACAGACTCCACAATGTTGAGTTGAAGTTTAAGTACTTGAAGAGCTGTGTTGTAATGCTTTGTCGTTATTGTGTGGTGAATGGTCTGTGTAGTTTTGCTCTATCATCTTTATCGTCATCATCATTGTTATCAATACTATGAATCATTGTCGGCCATACTATGTTCATTGTTTTGATAAACATTACGCTATCATCGTTATCATCATCATTACCACCACCATCATCACCATCATCATCACCACCATCTCATCTTCATCATTATCACCATCATCATCATCATCATCGTCCTCCTCCTCACCACCATCATCACCACCATCATCATTATCGTCATCGTCATCTTCACCACCATCATCATCATTATCGTCATCGTCATCTTTACCTTCATCAACATTCACATACAAAACCAACATCACCAGTCAGCATCATGCTCGTCTAACAAACTCACTCAAATAAGTTACCCAATCCGTAAGATCCAACCATCAAATCAACTGCAACACCGACACCAAAAAAACTGGACAACCTTGAGAAAAGCCAGTCCAAAGACAATGGATATGGCACTGTCATAGAAGTTGTAGAACTCCCCCAGCCAGATGAGGGTTTCCGTCCCCAGCTCCTCCTCACTCTTACTCTGCGTTACCGTGATTCCGTATATCTGGATGCAGAGGCACGAGATGCTGACGAACACGATGAACATGTCGATGAAGGAAGCAATCGAGAAAAAGTATGGAATGCCGAATGCTACTATCTGTGTGTGCGCGTATGTGCGTGCGTGCGTGTGCGTACGTGTGCGTGTGTGTACGTGTGTGTGTGTACGTGTGTGTGTGTGCGCGTGCATTTATTTTTGAAAATTTTTGCAAAGTTGAAACGACGTGTTTGCCATGTAAGAAATGTTTCCTGAGTCCTCCAGTCTTGCTGCCTCCAAAAATGGATTGCATCAATTCATACCATTGTAACGTAAACAAAATTTTCTAAAACTGACGGCAAAAAAAAATCGGCGCTAGATAATTCCCATTATCACCGCTGAAGCCACCCAGACAAAGACAAAACAACTAAAAGTGAACCTACCTCGAGAAAAATGATGAAGAGATAGTACAAGATGAAGAGGTAGTAAAAGATTTCCATGACGGGCATGACCAGTTCGTTGATGTTGAACCTCGATATGCGGACCACACGAAGGCTAAATGACGTCACCACCCCTCCGCTCACCGGAAACTCTATGGCTAGGCTGGGGGTTGGGGTTCATTATTATTTTTATCATTATTATTATTATTATTATTATTATTGTTGTTGTTGTTGTTGTTGTTATTATTATTATTATATTGCTATTGTTGTTGTTGATGATGGTGTTTTTGTTTTTATTATCATTATTGCGATATATTATACGTATTTTTATTGTAACTCATCTAACGGTAGCGATTAATAAAGTAAAAAAATAATATTACTACTACTACTGCTGCTGCTGCTACTACTACTGCTGCTACTACCACTACTATTACTACTATACTACTGCTACTACTACTGCTGTCACTACTACTACTATTGCTACTGCTACTACTACTATAGCTGTCACTACCACTACTACTACTACTCCTACTACTACTACTATAGCTGTCACTACTACTACTACTACTACTACTACTACTACTACTACTACTACTACTATTACTACCACTACTACTACTACCACTACTACTACCACTACTACTACTACTACTACTATTACTACCACTACTACTACTACCACTACTACTATTACCACTACTACTATTACTACTACTATCTTTAAAAAACCGATGAAAAAAAAGAGTATTAAAAAATATATCTATATACATAAAGTATAAGATATAAAAGCATAAGCAAGCAAACTTGACGAAACAGTAGTTGTGGAGGTTCTTATTGTGTAGTATAAACTCTATCAAGACAATCCGTGTCGACCTATCGATCCAGTTATTTTTTTTCATCGTCGCCAGGTTCGACTGCGCAGTCTTCCTTGACTTCGGCAGTTGGAACGTGTAGCCTTCGTCTCCGTAGGTTGAGACCTTGCCATAGTACTTGCCGAAGCCCAGCTTGTTGTGATCTGAATACTCTCTGTGGTTGGTTGGATGGTCGGTCGCCCGGTTAATTAGACTTACTTGAGTTTAGTTGGATTTAATTAGGTTAAATTTGATTAAATTTGGTTAAATCAGATATAACTGGATTTAATTTGGTTAAATAAAGTTTAATTATGTTTAGTTAATTTAATTATGTTTAGTTATGTTGGTTAAATTAAGTTAAATTATGTTTAGTTAAATTGGATTGAATTGATAAATTAGGCTCAATTGGATTTAATTAGATTGGATTGGAATGGATTAATTGGATTAAATTGAATTAATTGGACTAAATTAATTGGATTGAATTAAATTGAGTCGATTACTTAGTATTTAGTAACCAAATCAAAACGTATACTCATTAAAATTAAATGAATTTGTTAATTTCAACTGAATTTATTCTCCGTGTTGGATCATTTAGTCGATGCATGCTGCCACTAACGTGCCGTATGTTCCTTCGAGTTTGTCCTTATAAATCTGGCCGATGCCGTAAGGCTGGAAGCAAGTAACTTTGACAGCTTTTTTCTTCTGAATAACGCATGTGCTGTTCTTGACTTTGATTTGTCTGATTTGGACGGCTTTCACAAGTTTATTCCTGTAGAGGATGTATCCGATTTCCTCGTCCGTGGCCTTCCTGCCTCCCTCCTCCAGCTCCCAGTATAATCCGTGCATCAGGCCATCCTGTAGAAACTTTAAGTGGAGGTGTTTATGTGTATGCACGTGTGTGTGAGTGTGTGTGTGTACGTGTGTGTGAGTGAGTGTGGGCGGGGGATGTGCTTGTGTGGGAGGATTTGCATGTGCGTGTGTGCTTGCGTGTGCGTGTGTGTTTGCGTGTGTGTACGTATATATGCACGTGCGTGTGCGCTCAAGTTTGTACTAAATTACTGAAAATTTTTTTTCTCATATTTAGAACTAGAACGAAGAAAATCCTAATACATATGAGCAAAAATTAAAATTATTTTTGAACTTTTGACAAATTTGTAGTAGTAGCAATGGTCATAGTTAGTAGTAGTAGTGGCTGTAGCTGTAGCAAAAACCATAATAGCAGCAGCAGTAGTAGTGGTAGTAGCAGCAGCAGTAGTAGCAGCAGAAGGAGTAGTAATAGAAGCAGCAGCAGCAGTTGTAGTAACAAAAACCTACATCCCAAACTTCCTCCTTCTTGGATATGTTGTTGAAGGTTATAAATGGCTTCTCCTTTCTAATGGGGCTATGCACGAACAACTTGTTCACCGAGTTTGTTATATCGAAAACCAGTTTGAAGCCTGTGCTGTCGGCAACTGTTTTGTTGTTAATGCCATTTTTTATTATTATTTTTGTTGTTATCATCGTTGTTGTTGCTATTTTATTCATTGATGTTATTGCTGTCATTGTGACACAAGTGTTTTGTTGTTATCGTAATTATTGTTGTTGTTATTATTATTATTATTATTATTATTATTATTATTATTATTGTACTTGTTGGTGTTATTATTTTTATTTATGGTTTTTTTTATATATTCTCTAAATCAGACTCTGGCAAGAACAAGCGAGTCACTTAAACGATAAAAATTAAATTATGAAAGTAAAAAATACGAGTTGCATTTTTATGGTATGTTGAGGAAACTGAAATATTGTTGCTATTGTTAACTTAGTTCGGCTTTCATTTGAATTTAAGAAATGAAAAAAGAAATTGTTGTCAAAATCATCGTGACACATACACACACACACACACACACACACACACACGCACACAAACGAAATAACTAACGGATAATGATGATGATGAGGAAAATGATGTGGACGATGAAATCGATAAGTGCCATCTTCAGATGCAACTCCCTATTTCCCGGATCTCTCGACTGCACGATCCGTGTCGTGTTGCATGACAGACCTATGAAAATTTAGGGTACGTATCATGTTACCATCGTCGTCGTCGTCATCATACTCATTTCATTACCATTATCCATTATCATCTTTAGTATCATTGTCGTCGAGGTTGAAATGGTTTGGAGATTTTAAGATAAGTATATACATTGTCAGAGATTTTAAGATAAGTACTATATACATTTTCAGAGATTTTAAGATAGGTATATACATTGTCAGAGATTTTAAGATAAGTATATGCTATGTAGTAGCAGCAGAAGTAGTGTTAGCAGCGAAAGCCGTAGTAGCGACAGAAGCAGTAGTAGCATAAATAAGACCCCTTATTTTTTGGAGGTCCCACCTAAATTTAGCCACTATAATTCGATCAAATATATTTTTAAAGCGTACATTTTCACAATGCAGTGACAGTCTGGACCAGTTAACAAAACAAAATGAGTCTAACTAGCTAGTTAAGGTGCAAAACTAACAATTGTTCGTCTTCACTTCCTGTTCAGCTTCCTCTTCCTCATCATCCCTGTTCATCCTTTGTTTGGTTCAACTACTATATGATGTGAACTGTGAACAAGTGCAAGCTTCAGCAAGAACTCAGCATGAACTCCAACGGCGTTTGGTTTCCGGCGAGAAGAAAGATTTATTTCTTCAGTTTATATTTCTTTCTCGTTATTTTATGACGTCATATTAACAACGAGGTTTTTGACAAGTAAGAAAACAACAAAAATAATGATTTTTTAACTATTCAAATTTTTTTTTGACAGCTTGATATTTTATCATTATTCTGTTTCTGTTATTTTACAGTTTTAAAAATATAAATTATCTGTTTGTTGTTAATTTGATTTAATATTTCATTCTTAAAGTGAAGAACTTTGAAAGGATAATTTTGAGGAATCTTATTGAAAGTTCAGTGTGTAGTTAGGTTAAGGAAGGTCGCCTGAACCTTTTACATGTATATATATATATATATATATATATATATATTTATATATATATATATATATATATATATATATGAATATATATATATATATATATATATATATATATATATATATATATATATATATAATTGTTTATTTACTTGTCAAAAACCTCAAATATTTAGTCTCCAACGTTTAGCGTGTCGGGGAATAAATATTTCATTGAACACAATTTGGACATTAAATATTTAGTCCCCAGCACTTGTATGGGTAGGCTGTTTGTATGTCGTTGATTTCTGTGAACTGTGGAAGGGTTCATTTGACCTTTTGCCTCTACACTTTGTAAGAAAATTTTAACGTAGATTTTATGAATAAAAATATTGTTTAATGAAAAATATTGTCATTGCCGTACGTCAATTCAGAGACATGATTGATAAATTTTAAATAATTTTAATCACGTAACGATTTTTCTGTCAGGTAACGTCGGCTGATAGCTCGAATTCGTCGTACCTGATAGAAAGATCGACGATAGAATTATTTAACGGGATTGTCTATGGTTCAATTCGTGTCGTGAACTCTTATACTGAATAAAATTTATCTTGACTACCAAGTACCAAAGAAGTTTAGTTTTAATTGAGTTAAGTTTTAATTTGTTAGCTGACATTCCACTGCCTTTGTTGAATTTGAAACAATGGTTAAGGACCATTCGATGAATAATTTGGTCTGTGATATAGTCTTTGTTACTTTTATTGTTCTATAGCAATAATTGTTTCTTCTAATTAACGTTAATAACCTTGATATTTTCTTTTAAACTAGAGTTATTCACTTGTTCATATATACTTAGATTAACAAAATAGTCTCTATAAAAAGCGCTTAACATTTTTTATCATACAATCGTATTAGCTGCTTCAGTTTTTTTTATTATTTTTTATGTTTGGTTTCAGCACATCCTTGAATATTTTCCCTTGCGAACACCGCTGAATGCATATGGCCGAAAAGAGTAATCGACATTTGAAGTAAAAGTTATTTTTTTACAAGTTTTTCTTTTTAAAGTCATCTGAAAGTTTAGTTTTTATCCGTAATGAATCTTATAGAAATTTTAGAAAAAACAGTTTCACCAGGTTAGTTTTATTTACTTGAAAAAATTCCTTTTGAAAACACGCGCCGGCTTTGACATTTTTCCGCACAAAGCATTTTTTAAAATGAATCCGTTTTTTTTTAGTAGATAATTACAGCATATTTATGAAATTTATTCATGCTAAATAATCTGTTTAAAAATTTCACAAACAGACCACAATGAGTTGGAAAGAGCTCAACAGTTTCTGGAGCAGGCGGCCCTACAGAATTTGGTTGGGATTTTTCATTGTTAATTCTAAAAAAAACCACAAAAAATAAGCTTAGTCATTTCGATTGCTTGATTTCATAAGATCTAAAAAAAAATAATTAATTTACTAAATTAATTCCATTTTTCAATATTGTGGAGATTATTTTGTAATTAAAAATTTCTCCATCAAACTTTTTGTCTAGCCCGAATTGCTGAGGCAATTGTCAGACATTTTAAAGCATGGGAGCAACAGCCCTGTGGTGCGAATGCAGGCTGGTTTGCAGTTGAAGAACGCCCTCTACTCCAAAGATCCAGCTATTCGTACGTCCTATCAAAAAAGATGGTTGGAGTTTCCGGAAGATCTTAGAAATTATATTAAAAAAAATGTAATAATAATTTTGTTGATTTAATTTTAATTTTGATTTTTAAATTTTCATACTTCGGAATTAGAATTCATAGAAGGGGCTTGTTTAGTTAATAAATTGATTGAAAACTTGCAAAATGAAAATGAAAATTTCAATTTAGGAATACATGTTTACATGTAAATGAAAATTTTTAGATTAGCTATGGAAAAGAGTAAAACATTGAGAAATTGTAATCTCTAGCTGTGAAGTAACTAGACAAGCATCTGTAAAACGCATCTTTTGGGTTAGAATGTAAAACGATGAAAATGAATTATACAGGGGGAAAGTGGCTTACCTAAGACTACTAAGGTGACTAGATAGATCTACCTGCTTAGTAGACTTTTGGGTAGTTTTTCAGTAGTAATGTCAAATGGTGACGGTAATTTTGATTCAACTAAATCATATATGTTTAAAGCACTCAGAAGATTAAATATATTGAATAAAAAAGTTTAAATAAGCTAGAAAATAGAATTTTAAAAAAATGCATCTGCTAAAGTGCGGAATATTTAACCTTTTTCACAGTGAATGTGTTTAGCTTGTGTGGGTTCTAAAAATATAAGATTAATGAAATAATAAAATAGCGAGATAAATTAGACTCATTATCTTTGTTAAAATGTTTTATACTCTACTGAATCTTGCAGGTTTTGGAAACATTAGGCTCGGAGACGATGAGGCCGAGCACGGCAGCCCAATGCGTGGCCTACATCGCCTGCACTGAGTTGCCACTGGATAAGTGGCCGGAGATGATGCAGATCCTGACGACGAACGTCACCAACCCCGCCAGCACTGAGATGATGAGGGAAGCATCTCTCGAAGCTGTCGGCTACATTTGCCAGGACATTGTCAGTACTCATGTGCCGTTTTCATGGCTTTGCTGTTTCAGTTTTTTTTTCTAATTTTTTCTCACATGTTGTGTTTTTCTCGCAAGATTTATGTTCTTGCTACTTATACCCTTGATGTAATATTCGTAAAGTTATTTCACTCATTTAATATTCATTTGCAATTAATTTAACTTACATCTGTAACTAATATTGGAATTGCGATCACTTTTTATAATTTGAATTTGGTCATGTTGCTGAAGGACCCAGAAATACTGTCGACGAAATCCAATCAAATCTTGACAGCCATTGTCAACGGCATGAAGAAGGAGGAGCCGAGGTTTGTTTATATCACATCTCTTTTTCTTTTTTTTTTAATTCTGTAAATCAAACTCCGCCAAACGTGTAGAAAGTTACAGCACACAAGATAAGGAATGACAGAGACAAAATTATGAATTTAAATAATTATAAACAATCTATTTCAATACAAATAAGGTAAATAAAATAAAGCACTATGAAAATAATAAAAAAATTAATTGTTGTATGTATGCCATGTTTTTTTTTACATTGGAGTTTTTTCATGTCCATACCGTGGCATTGTCACATTGCTGTTATGCTTTCAACTTCACTAAGGGCAGTGATCAGTTATTATATTTGCTGTAACTGCGCTACTGTTGTTTTACTGCCGATGCTTCTTTTTTTGACTGCAAATCTTGTTTCAACTTTGTTAATTAGTTAATTGACTCATTAATTAGCTAATTGGTTGATTGACTCATTAATTAATTAGCTAATTGGTTGATTGAGTCATTAATTAATTACTTACATAGGGATGTGTCTATCTTGTGTTATTTACAAACTTCTAATATTTGCTATTTTAGAAATATTCTGAACCTAATGTATGTGCTTTGCACACATGTATATATACCAAAACATACATACATATATTTATCCATACAAACATACATACATACATACATGCATACATACCATATCTTCCAGCAACCATGTAAGATTGGCTGCCACGAATGCATTGCTGAACTCTTTGGAATTCACTAAGGCCAACTTTGATGTGGAAGTGTGTATATGTGTGTATGTGTATATGCATATGCATCTTTGTGTGTGTGTGTAGGCGTGTGTGTTTGTGTACGTGCATCTGTTGGGTTACTCAATAATCACACGTGTAGCTGTCTTCTACAGTTTAATTTTCTGTATGTTTGTACTGTCATCTAATGTGTATAGTTGTTTATCATTGCATAATTTTCTTATATTTTTGGTTTTTGATTAAAATATCTAACACAAATTAGAGAGCTCATACCTCATATACAAACAAACCACACACACACACAAATACCATACACATACACACAAATACCCTATGTATGCCTACAAACACTGCACACCCTCACACTGAAGATGAACATGCGTGAGCAAAATGAAACTAACCCTAACAACAGACTGAACGCCACTTCATAATGCAAGTTGTCTGTGAGGCGACTCAGTCCCCAGACACGCAGGTGAGGGTGGCCGCGCTGCAATGCTTGGTGAAGATCATGTCGCTCTACTACCAGTACATGGAGCATTACATGGGACCTGCTCTGTTTGCCGTATGTGCGGTGTGGTGTGGCGTTTGGTGGCTAGCTGTTTGTGTGGTGTTTGGTGGCTGGCTGTTTGTGTGGTGTTTGGTGGCTGGCTGTTTGTGTGGTGTTTTGTGGCTGGCTGTTTGTATGGTGTTGGTCTGTATATAGCATTGTTGTGGTTGTTGTTGTATGTTTGGGGTTTGGCTGCTGATTGTTTGTGGTGCTAGTGTATATTCATGTTTAAATAATGCAGATAACCCTGGAGGCTATGAAGAGTGGAATCGACCAGGTGGCAATGCAAGGTATTGAGTTCTGGTCAACTGTCTGCGATGAGGAGGTCGATCTGTCTATTGAAGCAGCTGAGGTGATTGGCTGGTTGTTTGTGGCTGTGATTGGTTGTTACCGATTGGGTGTGCTCTGCAGGCTACATGTGATTAGCCAGCAGGTTGTTAATGTCTAGTTAGTTAGTTGTTTTTGATTGGTAAGTCGTTAGTGATGAGATCAAATCTTTAAATCAGATGGAATCATATGAAATTATGATGATTTAAAATGGCAGGCATCTGATCAAGGCCGTCCACCAGAGCGCACAAGCAAGCACTATGCCAAAGGTGCTCTTCAGTACCTTGTCTCAATACTCACTCAAACTCTTGCTAAGCAGGTTAATTTTTCTTACTCTCATGTATTTGGGTTGTATCGTTTTTATTTTGAACAAAGAATTCTCATACACACGCATAAGCTGTTCACACACACACACAGTCACGCACACATACACACACACAGACACACACACACATTCAACTCTCTAACTCATAACAAAATGTGCACACGTAGGAGGAATACGACGACGACGACGAATGGAATCCGTGCAAGGCAGCCGGGGTCTGTCTGATGTTGCTGGCATCCTGCTGTGAGGATGACATCATCTCACATGTCCTACCATTTGTCACTGAGCACATCAAAAGTCCAGACTGGAGGTACAGAGATGCAGCTGTCATGGCGTTCGGTCAGTTGCTGTTTTGTTGGTGATGTATACAACAACTAACAACAACGCACTCTTTCTTATAAACAACAACAACAACTCTAAAAACAACAGGCTCCATCTTGGAAGGGCCACACTCTGAGACGTTGAAACCAATTGTTGAGATGGCAATGCCAACACTGATTGAACTTCTGAAGGATCCATCGATTGTTGTTCGAGACACAACGGCTTGGACTGTTGGGCGCATCTGTGAGATACTTCCTGAGGCTGTTGTCAATGAGCACTTCATCAACCCTCTCCTTTATGCCATGGTTGATGGCCTCACATCTGAGCCTAGGGTGGCTGCTAACGTCTGCTGGGTTAGTTCGTTTTCCAGATAAGCCAGGCATCTTGGCCATCATTGTTTCTTTAGACATCTTCGTCATAATTTTTTATCATTGCCAGGCCTTCTCGAGTCTAGCAGAGGCGGCTTACGAAGCAGCAGAGGTAACAAACGAACAGAGAGAACCTGAAACTTATTGCTTGTCATCCTATTATGAACCTATCATTCAGAAGTTACTCGAGACTACTGATAGGTTGGTTGCTTGCTTAGTTCTTCTGTTGTTACTCCTCGTTTGTTTGTTGGTTTGTTTGCTTGTTTGTATATTTGTTTGTTGTGGCTTTTAGTTGTTTGTTTTTTTTACACGAATATGCCCGACAAAACCACAAATCAAGTAGCAACACATCACATACGTGCCTCCAAACCAAACAGATCGGATGGGTGCCAGCACAACTTAAGAAGTGCCGCCTACGAGGCACTGATGGAGATGGTCAAAAACAGTCCCAAGGTAAGTGGAGGTCTCATTCGGATGAAACCGACCATCGTCATTATCATCATTGTTACTTTCACCATTGCAATCATCATCACCATTATCATCCTTTGTAAGTTCACCTACATGTTAACCATCAACTGCACTCTGGATGGCAGAAGAAGATGGCTGAGATTTTGATCTAAGTTTTGCACTCTTGGATAGTGCTATTGAGAAATAAATTATTTTTTGGAATTGGCACTATATAAATATAAATATTATTAATTATAATACATGCATACGCACACATACACACACATACATACAATACATACATACATACCTATATACAGGATTGTTATGTAACGGTGCAACGGACAACCATGGTGATTCTTGAGAGACTTCAACATGTTCTCCAAATGGAGGTCTGTGCTGTTGTTCACGTTTTGATGGCTGATTGGTTGGCTAGTTGGCTGGCTGGTTGATTGGTTAATTTGATTGGTTGGTTGGTTGGTTGGCTGGTTGGTAATGTTACATACATACATACATTCATTCATACATACATACATACGTTCAATACATACACACCTACATACATTCAATACATACATGCATACATACATACTCTGCATACATACTGTAGTTTGTATGTTAATGTTAATGACGTCATCAACATAACAATTGTATAACATCCACCAATGTACAAACGGCAGAGCCACATTCAATCGACATCTGACAGAGTGCAATTGAATGATTTGCAGTCACTGCTCTGTGCCACGCTTCAGGTTGTATACTTTGTATACTGCATTCTCTACTGTGCTTTTTTATCTTTATTCCATCCCCGCATTATTGTTTACGTTGTCTCGTGTTAGCGTTCTACTACTAAGAAACACACGTGTGTGTGTGTCTCTGTGCATTTATTCATTCATTTGTTCATCCATCCTACCGTTGTAGAGCGTGCTCAGAAAGGTGACACCCACGGACGCCCCGCAGATATCTGACCCCATCATGGGGGCCCTCCTACACATGCTCAGTACCTCCAGTGGCAAGGTAGGAGGAGTCCAGGAAGATGCGCTTTTGGCCGTAGCTACTCTCATTGAGAGTTGGTTTTTGTTTGGGGTTGCTGTTGGTTGTTTTGTTATTGTGTCTGTCTGTCTGGGTTTGCTGTTGTTGTGTCAACATGTTTTTCAGTTCCAGTTTGTCACTTCCATTTTGATGTATGTATTGTACAGGTAAGCACATTGTCTGGAAACCAACCTACATTTCTTTTACTCATGTTTGTTTGTTTGTGTATGTGTGTGTGTGTGTGTGTGTGTGTGTGTGTGTGTGTGTGTGTGTGTGTGTGTGTGTGTCAGTACCGCAACACTAATTACCGGCATCAATCATACAATCAATATTAATGTCGGTGACATTGTTGCTATATAATGCACGTGTGTGCGTGCGTGTTCGTTTTGAATGTGCACGTGTATCGTGTGCGTGCGTGTCAGTAAGCTGAGGGAGGTACGCTGGTTTGTACACTCTTTTGATCAGCACATACACAAATATCTCTGTCTAATTGTCATTCTCATTTTTATTATTATTCTTATTTATTGCTATTATTATTTCTATTATCAATGTTACTCACAGAATTTTTTAATATTTTCAATATAATTATAATAATTATTATCATAATATAATAATAATGATGATGACGATTGCAAACGTGTTAAACAGTTCTTGGTGAATCGTTTCTCAAGTATATGGAGGCTTTCAATCCATTCTTTGTGGCAGGATTGAAGAACCACGAAGAGTATCAAGTTAGTGGAATGAGTGGGGAAGTGGCGATTGGATGAGTGAAGGAGTGAGGATTTTGAGTGAAGGAGTAAGGATTGAATGAATGAATGATTTTGAATGAAGGAGTGAAGATTAAATGAATGATTTATGATTGAGTGAAGGAGTGATTGAATGAAGGAGTGAAGATTGAAGGAGTGAATGATTGTTTTGAGTGAAGGGGTGAGGATTGAATGAATGATGATTTCAAGTGAAAGAGTGAAGATTGAATGAATGAATGCCGATTGGTTGAAGGAATGATGGTCGGTCAGATTGAAGGAATGAATGGTTGACATTACGAGCACCATTGCAATCCTCATCGTCATACCACCTCGATGACTGACCAGGTATGCCAGGCAGCAGTCGGTTTGGTTGGTGACCTGTGTAGAGCATTTGGGATGAAGATCATTCCATTCTGTGATGAGATCATGGTCATTCTTATTGAAAATCTTGGGGTAGGTTTAATGATTGATTGATTTTATTGTTTTATTGATTGATAGATTTGTTTTTGTTGGTTATTAAAATTAGTTAATTTCATATGGTTAGTTAGTTAGTCTTTGAATGAAACTTGATGCTGGTAGCATGATAAATCGATTGTCTCTGGTCTATAACACACAGCAAGTATTGAGTTGCAATGATTTAAACCCCCCATGAATGATGATTTGTGTTGTAGTCGGGACTGAGACGAAGTAACATAGCATTAGCATGCAATCTTGTTAATGTTCCTACAGAACGATCAAGTAAATAAGAGCGTGAAGCCGACAATCATTTCTGTGTTTGGAGACATTGCATTGGCCATCGGTCTGGAGTTCAAGAAGTACCTACCTGTCGTTCTTACAACTCTTCTGCAGGCATCTCAAGCCAAAGTTGATAAGGTACGTACGTAGGTGGTTGGTTGGTCGGTCGGTCGGTTGGTTGGTCGGTCGGTTGGTTGGTCGGTCGGTTGGTTGGTCGGTCGGTTGGTTGGTCGGTCGGTCGGTCGGTCGGTTGATTGGTTGGTTAGTTGGTTGGTTGGTTAGTTAGTTGGTTGGTTTGTTAATTTGTTGGTCATTTGATTGGTTGGTTGGAAGATCGATTATTTTATTTAGTTTGTTAATTTGTTGATCATTTTATTAATTGATTGGTTGGTTGGTTAATTGAAAGATTGGTTAGTTTATTAGTTAGGGTGATTGATCGAATGATTGACTGACTGACGACCAATCCTTTAATGATTGATCAAATGATTGATTGATTGATTGATTGAACGAACGAACGAACGAACAAACAATTAGAGCAACTACGACATGATCGACTACCTGAATGATCTTCGCGAAAGCTGCCTAGAAGCGTACACTGGAATCGTGCAGGGCTTGAAGGGTGATGGTAGCCAACTTGGAGGTTTGTAACCCTTACCCTTCTATGTCCTTTCTCGTTTGTCTGTGTTTGTTTGTGTTTGTTTGTTTGTGGTTATTTATACCTCCATGAAGCATATTAGCATTATTACATACAAAATTGAAACTTACCAGATTAAATTAAATTTATGTATATAGATATGTTACATACATTTTTGTACATGTGGCTATTTCTGTTTAATTTATTTCATTATCATAAGTTTGGCTATGTATGTATGTGTGTATGTACATGTGTATGTATGTATGTATGTATGTATGTATGTATGTATGTATGTATGTATGTATGTATGTATCTATGAAACTATCTTTGTGTGTATCTATGTATGTATCTATGAAACTGTATATGTATGTATCTACGTATGTATGTATCTATGCATGTATCTATGCATGTATATATGCATGTGTCTATGTATGTATCTATGTATGTATCTAAGCACATATCTATGTGTGTACATTACAGCAGTCATAGAACTGATGCAACCCTCTCTTCCAAATATCCTTCTCTTCTTGAACGAGATAGCCAGTGACGAGGACATCACGGAAGGAGTCGTTGGGGCCAGCTGTGGTCTCGTCGGGTCAGTTTTGTGTAGTGGGCTACTTTCTTTCTTTGTGTGTATCTCTTGTTTTCTCTCACTCTCTCTCTCTCTTTCTCTCTCTCTTCTAACTTTTTTCATATTTTCTGTCTCTCTGTTTATTATCTTCTTTTTCTCTAACTCTTGTCTTTATTAATAAGGGTTTTTATTAAACCATTCATTAATTCATTCAATCATTCATTCATTTAATCATTCATTCAATCATTCATTCACTTGTTCATCCAATTATTTGTTCCTTCATTCATTCAAGCAATCAATCACTCAACTCATTTATTCATTCATTCATTTGCTAATTCATTCAATCAATCAATTATTATTCATATTATTTATTCATTCATTCATTCGTTCGTTCGATCAATCATTCATTCAGTGACCTCTGCACGACCTTTGGACTGAGTCTGCAGCCTATGCTGGAGGCGGAGAGCATACAGACTCTACTGACCAAGGGTCGAAGGTCAAAGTCCAACAAAGTGAAGACACTGGCTACCTGGGCCATCAAGGAGATTAGGAAGATGAAGAACCTGGGCTGATCCCCATGACGATGATGCCGCCGTTGCTGCTGGTGGTGGTGGTGTTGGGATTCGGAGTGTGAATTTGTGGTGAAGATTTGTGACGTCATTGTTGTGAGGAGGAGGATGATGATGACGTCATTGTTGTGAGGATGATGGTGACGATGATGACGTCATTCATGCGAGTATGATGGTGAGGATGATGACGATGACGTCATTGTTGTGAGAATCATGATGGTAATGGTAAATGATGGTCTGGTTAAGGTAAATGATGATAATGGGGACATTAATTAATTAATTAATTAATTAACACTGATGATTATGAAATTAATTAATTGGTGATGACGATGTTAGGCATATTGAGGGGTTTATGTCCATTTATTTGTTGGCAATAGTTTATCGTTTGTATAGTAGTATGACGTGACTAATTATCATCTTACCGTCGTCATCATTATCATCATCACTATCATCAACATCATCATCACCATCATCAGCTAACAGTAAAAGTAGCAAAAAATATAAAGAATATATATATATATAATTTAGGTGATGATTATGATTTAGATTATGATGATGGTGATGAAGTTGACATTGGTTGATTAATTGGTTGGTTGGTTGATTTATTGGCTAGTTTATTGGCTGATTGATTGGTTGGTTGATTGGCTAATTGGTTGGTTGATTGGCTGATTGATTGGTTAGTCCTTTTTATACTGTTGTCCACAAAATTGGTTTTATCTAGCTTTGATTTTGAGACAAAATATTATTGGTAGTATAATAAATAATTATTATAATATTAATTATAATTATTACCGTTTTTTTATTATTATTATTTTATTATGGTATCGATTCTTTCAAAAAAGATAAATATTTTCATGTATGTTTTGTAATTGGACGTCTATTTAACAGCTTAACAAGCGAACAATTTGCTTCGTTTTGTTTCATTAACTTTGTCCATGTTTTATTGTTTAATTTTTTTACTGGTTTACCATTTAAGTAGCGTATGTTTGTTTGTGTGTGTGTGTGTGTGTGTGTGTGTGTGTGTGTGTGTGTGTGTGTGTGTGTGTGTGTGTGTGTGCATTTGATTGAATGTATGAGTGAGTGAATGAATGAGAATGGGAGTAAATGATTGATTGAATGAATGGATGGATGGATGAATTATGCTGGAGTATCATGATAAATGTGTCATGCTTCATTTCATTCATTCATACATTCATTCATTCATTTTTAAAGTTCACTATCATTCATTTCATGCATTTGTGCATCTATCTATCCGTCAATCAATCACTCCATCCATCAATGTACGTTATTAACGTACCATCTGAAAGGTATTTTGACAGGTGATGGTGAAGATGATGACGACGATGTTGTTGGTTTGTATTTGTCTGCCTGTGTGTGTGTGTGTGTGTGTGTGTGTGTGTGTGTACGTGTATGTATTATCTTTATATCCTTATCTGAGTATTAATGTCTTTATATACATACATACTTACATACATTCACATACACACAGACACACACATACATACATACGCACAAACATACATAAATATATACATACATAAACGCATACATACATATACATACCATCTTCATCTTTATGATTGTAGATTGATTGAAAATGCTGTGATACAATATAATGTAGCTTTCTTTTATTCGTCATCGTATGTCTTCTATATGTTTTTTTTTATCTCTGCTGTCGTTTGTACGTTGCGTTGTATCTTCTTTGTATGTTTTTTTTATCCAAGTTGTTGTTTGTATCCTCTTTGTAGTATCATCTTCGTTTGTCTATTTTGCGTGTACTACGTTGTGTGTACGCTGCGGATTTTGGTTTCAGCGTTATTCCCAGCACACTAAATACATTGTACATCTCATGTCTTCTTCGTTAGGGTCCTAACTTTACTGAATTCAAGTGGAGAAATTCACTGCCCCAAGCAATAGTAACCTGCCAAAACTGCAGACACATGTGGTCAATTTTACTAGATTAAGCGATGGTAGATGTGTAAAATGTGACACGTCAGATGAGTCTTTGTTCATATTTCTTCTCCTTATGTGTCTGGAAGTTACTGGAATTATTTTTTTTACATACATACATACACACATACATACATACATACTCACATACATACATACATACACGTTTCTTTGTGCATGTTCATCATCATGTTCTTTATTTGTCGCCATCGTCAGCATTTCGGATACATAGTATTGCCAATGGCACTTATCAAGCCATTTTATTATTAATCCGAACTTTATCTCTATATAACTGAACCCTCATATGGTTCAAAATTTTATGTGTGTATTTGTATAACGGACATGTATATTAACGTGTGTATGTTTATGTGTGTTTAAGCACGTATGTATGCGTGTGTGTGTGTGTGTGTATGCGTGTGTATGTGTGTGTGTGTATACATACATACATACACATATGAATGTTATGTATGTGTAGGCGCAAGGGCATACACGTGGGTGATACCATTTTCAAGGGATGTCCATGTTTCTCTTCTTTTTACTTCTGGCATGTAGATATCTCCCATAATACGTAGCACAAAAATGTGTGTTTGTGTGTACGTTGATATTCATGTACGAACATGGCGTGCATACGTATGTGCACACTTTAGAAATTTTTATCTATCTTCTAAGGTCTTGTTTACATCTTTGGGTGATTTTCCTACCCTGTGTTGTTTATTTAAAGCTTAAATATGTGAAACTATCCTTTATATCATTTTTTACCTTGACCTTTCTATCTTTTCCTCTCTCTCCCTCTCTCTCCAAATTTTTGTTTTCCGTACGTATTTGTCCGTGTCGTTTGTTTGCATGTTGATCTGTATGTACACAACATTGTGTGTGTTTGTGTGTGTGTGTATCGTACGTTAGTGTGTACAAAACATGTATACATGCGTGCAGTGTACATTCGCCTGTACATAATAACAAATACATAATTATATACAAAAACTTACTACATATAAAGCTAAGCAGGACACGCCAGCGGCAGAGATGTGTGTCACGTTTTCAAAGTGCCATTATTCATTCGTAACTTTTTTTTTTTGAAATTTCATATCTACTTCGTACATGCATACATTTTTTCGACGCGCGCATGTGTGTGTGTGTGTGTGTCATTCTTATATAGCTATCTCAAAATTGATTTCTTCTATTCAGTCTTTGTATTTTTTTTTAACTTTTTCCCTTTCAAATGTCCTGTACTTATGTGTGTTTTTCATAATAATTTTCATTCAATTCACATATTCATACACATGTACATGCACACATGTACACACATATTCAGGCGCGCGTGTGTGTACGCTTGTGTGGATGTGTGTAGATGTTATTTTCATTTTTAACTTAACTGCATCTTGTTATTCTCTCTTAACTTTCCAACTTTATCATCATAGCCTCGTCAATATCATATCGTTTGTTATAGAAATTATCATCATTACTCGATCACTCACACACTCTTTCGCTCACTCACTCATTCACTCATTTGCCGTTTTTATCCGTCATGATGATTGACGTCACCGTGGTAGGCCGCATTTTCAAATCACGTTAATTCATCCTGCTGTTTTTCTTTGCCATCTCATTTTATCTTATTGACTCACTTTTTTTCATACCAGCATCATCAGTATCAGCATTTCCATCATTATCGTCCGTCGTCGTCATCATCATCATCAATTCGTCTTTCAAGCTAAACTTTTCATGAGACTTCTCCAACATTTCATTGCTAAATTATTATTATTATTAGCCTATTATGTTTAGTCTTATTATTATTATCGTCGACGCCATTGTTTCTACGGATTCTTTATTATTATTATTTTTCTTTCTCTTTCCTTCCTTCCGAATTTCTTTCTCCAGAAAGCACTCCACCTTTCAAACTATTTTATGACTTGAATGATCTTCTCGTTACGTTACGTCATTTCCGCAATCAAATCCATCTTTTATACTAGTTCGTCATACACTCGTACACACTTAAACACACACACACACACAACTTAACTTTTGCATTCTCAATTCTGAAAATGGCGTCTACCTATTGAGTGATTTCTCATGTCTTTTTCCTCTTTTCATTATTCCTGTTATTTTATAATTCGCTGTTTGTCATTATTATTCCTTGTCATTTTATATCATCATTATCGTTTGATATCATCATTATCATTTGATATTATTATTATCATATGATATCATCGTGAATATTACTATTATCGTCATCAGTCACGTCAGCCTAGTCCCGCCTCTCTTATCGCCACACACACACACACACACCACATATACTCGTCATCGTCACAGGACTCGCTCACTCACTCCATATGTTTCACCCTCAATATCTCTGGAATGGTTAGCCAATTGAAACGTAGAGATTCCTAATTAATTAGATTTTTCTATTCTTCCATCCACTCACGTTATATTCTCTCTCTCCTACTTCCCAGAGTTCTCGGACGATTTTCCAAATTTTCTTTTCAAATTTTTACATCCCTTTATGCATATTATTATTGAATTACTAGCAAACCAGGATGTCTAAACGTCAAATAAGCAAGCATGTGTCATCTTCCTCATCAAACCGTCTTCACCAAAAAAATTTGGCAGCGTAGCACCCAAGCAAGTAGGCGGGCAAGCACAAAGATAGATAACTTACAATCACAGCCACACTACACCTCGACCAGAACCACACAGACCAGCGCTTCACGACACGACATGAACCACACGACGCAACTTCACGTGCAAATGTGAGATGATGTAAACTGCGAGCGAGTGTATGATGATGATGGAATGTCTATTATGTGCGTGTGTGCGTGCTTATTTTATACATGGAAATTTAAAATGATGATGATAATGGTAGACTCTATGAACTCAACTGGTTGTCTTGCATGTAAATTAATTTTCTTTATTTACCACATTTAGATTTCATTATTTTAGTTTGATTATATAATAATAATAATAATTATTGTCTTCGCTACTACCAGTTATTTGCTTGCAACATCTCAAACAGACTAAAAGGTATTAGGCGAAGGTGATAACAATAATGATGCTAACTTTAATTTAAGATTACCTCTTTCTGGTTCCCTAAGTTTACATGCGTTTATTTAGTTAAACGTGTGTGTGTGTGTGGCCATTTTAATGTTAAAATCTTTATGAGAATAAATTAAAAATTTGAGGTTTTATTTATTTTTTTTTCATTCTTTCGGTAAACCATTTTCTGCAAATTGTTTGACAAATTTACCAATTCCAAAGTCAATCATATGAAATATTAAACAATACAAAGAACTAAGTGGTTCAAGGCGCTAAGCTAACTTACTTAGCATCTGTCTAGTTCAAACGCCCATTAAGTTACTGGTCGTGTTTCATATTCAGAAACACGAGTTAACCTAAAAACTTGAAAAAATCGAATTTTTAAATACGACACGTTTCGTTCGTTGAAAATGTTTAATTTTTTATTGACTGCAATTATCTTTCCTTTCATTTATACTCGATTAATTATGCAGATGAGAGTATTTGAAATAAAAATTGTTAACAAGAAATAAGATCCGTAACAACGTTAAAATACACACACACAAATACATATGTTTGTGTGTGTAACAAACTGCACGCGACTTCATCAATAAAACAAAATAATTCATTAGTGAACAAATGTCAAACAAGACAGAGATTGTCAAAACAGGAAACCTTTGTACGCACTTTGAGATTTAAATAGACAAATATGATAAAATCTATGTACACGAGATAAAAAAAGGAAAGTTTCAAGTTAGCTAGCATAAGTACAATAAGTTAGTTTATGAATAGAGCTATGGACAAACGAGATGGGAAGAATTTTAAAAAACTTAATTTCAATAACTTTCAGACGTTTTCACTATGCAATTCGGCATATTTCCTTATTAGGAATTTAAATCTCCTTTGTACCTGTTGTAAAAAAATAAGAATTATTAAAAAATAATTGAAGTCGAATTTATAAAAGACCTAAA